ATGTATGTATGTACGTATGTATGTATTTATGTATGTATTTATGTATGCATTTATGTATGTATGTATGTATGTATGTATGTATGTATGTATGTATGTATGTATGTATGTATGTAGGTATGTATGTGTGACATCTCGGCTCGGAGATGTCGGTCTGGAGGACTGGCGTGCGAGTGCAGCAACAGTTTTGGGATGTGGCGGGAGTGGGTTTGGGTGTGGGGTTTGTCTGCCTGGCTTCGACATCTCATAGACGACAGATGGTGTTTAGAAAGAGATGTGACCGAAGGTGGAATGAAGCATCTGCTTTCACCATTCTGTACGATGGCTGGTTTCTTTTGCGGGACAGTGACCGTCGGTCTACTTGTGGACCTGGAGTTCCGCAGAAGATGCTCCCTGTCCTCTGCCCACGACAGGACCCTGGCTTGGATATGGACCAAGGCTTTGGGGCCGTGTGCATGCAGATCCTTCGGCAGGATAATATGAGGAGCTGGCCGTGTACATGTACAACGCTGCTTCATCCCCAGCCGGTCGTTCCGAATGGCCTTTCTGACATGATTGCTACCTATGCTGTGCAGTCTCCTGCTCTACAGTGCAACAGTATGTGAAGTCGGCCTTGTATCTGTCTGCTGGTGCCTGACATCGGCTCGAAGTATTGATTCGCAAGCCTTTGAAGCAACAGCTGGTCAGGTGAGATGGAGCCCACCGGACTTTCGGATCGAGAAGGAAAGAGCAAGGAAACTCCAATTGCTTCGGCTGTCGCAGCGCCCGACCCTACTGGGAGTCAGGAAATGCCTGGATGGCCGGGCTGCTTTTGGGGACTTGCAGCACAGTTTGTCAGGCCCATTGCCCCCATCTTCAGCCCACTGCTAATGGATCTGGAGGAGTTAGGAGAACTGGCGGCAACCACGGCTACGTACGGCCATCGTCTTCGACGGGACCTGTGCCGAAAATGCCAGAGCGTAATCCGAGACACCATGGCAGGAGGCACCAGTGACCTGCACGTGCAGGGAAGGCTGTGTGCAGCCGATCGCGCTCGAAGGGGCCACCTCCACAGGAGCCGGTGGGCCCGCCCTGGGGCGCCGAGAGGCTAGCGCCGGCACAGCAAGTGGGACACCGCAAGCGAGCCGAGGCAGGAAGAGCAGGCTGAGTCGGAGGACGACGCTGCAGCCAGGGATGCTGCCGTGGCACCAGATCCTCTCTCTGGAAGATGAGCGACCGGACACAGAGGATTCCGTTTTCACCCCTGTCGTCCTCGACGTCGAGCGCCCTGGGGCCCTGGGGTTTGAGAAGGCCACCCGAGATTAGACCCGAACCAACCCTGATCGCGTCTGACAGCAAAGGTCACAAGAACGAGCAATAGCGCAACAGAGCCACCGTCACAGAATGCGACCGCCTATGAATTTGACATGATGCGCCAAGTCTTCACGATTGCAGCTGCTGCGTACCTGCTGGGTGTCTGTCTGAGCTTTGTGACGGGGCATGTGCACCTGTACATGCGGATGCTAAGGGAGCCCTATGGGATCATGCAAGACCGGCTGAAGAGCATGTTCCACTAAGTGTGGAGCCTCCCGGGTCCCAAGTCCCGGGGCCACCAACGCCATCGAGCTTGCGGACTGTGGAGCATGATACTTGTGCTGTGTTGCCAGTACTCAGTGACTACAGCTGTGGTGGTAGGTGCGAGAGTTGGGTTCCCTGTGCACCACAGGAACGAGGCAGAGTCAACGAACAGCAACAAGATTGACTATGCAGGGGCGAAGCTAGGTGAAAGCCGCCACATTACCCGTCGCCTGAAACCTCCCGGAACTTGCGGGCACTGCGGGTCGAGACGATGAAGGCCCAGTTGCACCAAATCTGGCATGCGTGGTCGAATGCTGCAAAACTCGAAACTTGCGGAAAGAATGGTGGAGGCTGTCAATGCCGCCAATGTTCTCCAATGTCTTCCAGGCTGCAAACTAATTTGCGCCCAAGCAGGCGAAGAAGTGACAACAACTACGATCATGGCGTCAACAATCATTCCTTGAGGGCGTGCCTCAGTTTGCCTACGTTGCTGGCAGATCTCTGAGCCAGGCTGTGGAAGGCGAAGGGCGTTGCGCCTCCGGTGCGCAAGCTAATACAGGATCTGGCGCCACACCTCCACAGCGAAAGCCAAGGAGGTAGAAGCAGATAATACGTGAGTGGAGGGTGCCAGCTGTCGTTGGACCTCACGGGTGCTTACGACAATGTGCCGTGGGATCACCTGATCCAGGCTCCCATGGCAGCAGCCGTGCCGCAACAGCTCATCGATGTGGTGAAACTATTGCACCAACAGGCCAGAAAGAATCAACATCAGCCGCTGCCTGCTGAATAGGACAGGGACTCGGGCTCGCGCCGTGCTATGGGCAATATATGTTGGGTGGACCCTTCAAGGTTTGCGTTTGCGCGGCGACCTCTCGGATGTGACGCGGTCGAGAACAAAATGCGCCGACGATCTCCGTTTTTCATGCGCCATCCTGCCACGCCGAGACTTGGAGAAGGGCGTATGAGGCCAGCACATTTGGAGGCAGCCAAACATCCTCGCCCTATCCGGTCGCTGCTCGTGGAAAGGTCATATGTTCGACGGCACATGCTGGCTCGGCGTAAGGACCAGAAATCCCTCATTGGTCGAAGCCAGGAATTGATCTGCGCATGTGACCTCGGCCTGCAGAACTGCAGATAGTCCGGGAGGATGCACAAAGGTGCAGCATTGAAGCAGGGTCAGAACGACATTTCCTCATGAGCGTCAGCCGAAGCACGACGTTTGGCTACGAGGACAGTAAAAAGAAGTACAGTATGTAAGTATGTTTATTTGTATGTATATATGTATGCAGGTGTATAAATAGCTTTTACATATGTACACATGCACATTCATACACACGCACACATACACGCACATAGAGGCACACGCGCGCGCACATGCGCACAACAAATGAAATAACAAATCAATCAATGGACAAACTCACAGATGAGTAGATAGATAGGTAGACAAACAAATAGATAGATAGACAAACAGATAAGTGGATAAACAGTCAAATATATAATTGAACAAATAAACAAAAGCATGATCAAATACGCAAATACACAGATCAAGAAACAATACATATAACAGTAAAAACAGACAAGCAAAAAATCAGTGAAGACACACATAGTGAAGAGATAAATAAGTAAAGACGTATAATATGCATATGTATGTATGTGTATACGGTCCTATGCAGATTTGCGGCAGATTGCAGGATGGCTTCGCCGGAAATGGGGCGTGACTCTGGGTTACACTGGTGGCGCAAAGACTGCTGCGTACAGAATGGCCATCCCCCTTTACAAGCACGCAGCGAATATATCCAGGCTCAACTTCTCGGCGCTCCCAGATACGGTAAAGGAGGCCTTCGACTTTCTTGAATCGAAGGTGAACTCCTCAGAGATCGTGGTCTTGTCCAGTGAGGAGTTCTCTACGTTTACCAGCGAACCTTGGAGCACTTCATGCTTTGATAGGGTTGAGGGTTGGGGGTTCAAGCCGTCTGGTTTAGGGTTTTAGGGTTTAGGATTCCTGCGTGTCATTTTTCTGTTGTTCTCCTGGCTCCTCATCGGAGTTCACCTGTCAATTGTGGCTTGTGACGTCTCCAGGCGTCAGCTTTGGCTTCTTCGAAGCACGATGTGGTGAGTGAGTTTCGACAGGGCTGCCTCGGAATATTGGGACATGTATATCTCGGGTGCCACTTTGGTGGTACTAGTAATTTCATATCCTGCTGCTGGTCAAACTTCTCGAATTTGCAACATGTTCGGCGTGGCTCTTTGCAAATGCTGGTCCCCAAGAAAAAACCACCACAAATAACTTTGAAACCTTTTAAGTCTTTAAAACACCGAAAATCTCAAGAAAGACACCAAAGACACCCAAACCCAAGAAAGAAACAGACAAGCCTGTAGTCTTCAAAACACCCTAAAGCTCCAACCCACGAAAAAGGACGCCCAAGAAACCCTAAACCATATCCCCTAAACCCTGAACCCCTAAACCCTAAACCCTAAACCCGAAAGCCTAAACCCCTAAACCCCCAAANNCCCTAAACCCCGAAACCCTGAACCTTAAACCCTTAAACCCTAAACCCTAAACACTAAACCCAAAACCCAAAACCCTAAAGACTAAACCCCAGGAAGCCTGGCGGCTCTTCCGGTCTCAGCTGGTCACAAAGAGCCGCCGGGTCGGTTGAGATTCAGGGTTAGGGTTTAGGGTTGGGAGTTTAGGGGTTTAAGGTTTTGGGGTTTTGGGTTGTAGGGCTTCGGGTTTAGGGTTTCCGCTTTAGGGCTATAGGGCTTTAGGGCTGTAGGGTTCCAGGGTTTTTTCTGCTTCGGGTGTTGTTCGGGTTTCGGTGGCTTAGACTTCGGGGTTTCGTGGCGAAGTTTGGGGACTATAGGATTTGGAGCTGGGTCGCTGAGTCATCGAACTTTTGCTCTCTGCCTTGGGTTTGGGGTTTGGAGGTTTGATGGGTCTTGACTTTAGGGGCTAGGGGCCTCGGTTTGAGAATTGACGCAACGCCGATCCCAACAGTAAGGCCTTGGGGTCTTGTTTAGAACAATCCTTGGGGTCTAGGTGTAGGCTTCAGGGATCTCCCTGAAACCCCTAGGTGACTCCATATACATCCTGTAAAACCCTTGTAGCGCCGTTTCCTCATGACCGCATAAGCCCCAAACCCAATTCTAAGTCTTCAACTACATTTCTGAGTTTCCGAAAATAGGGGACCCTAATAGAGGACCCTGAATAGTAGGATCCTTATTATAAGGACCCTAAACAAGGTACCCTTTATTTTCCGAAACCCCCATATGCTGGACGAGTAAGGCTGCTTGTCTGCGGTGGTTCTGCATCGGGATGCTCCTCGCTGGATTGCGGCTGGCTGGTCACAAAAGAACAAGCGCACCAGCAACCTGGGACTGTGCACTTAAAGCAGCTTAGGGGTTAGGGGTTTAGGGGTTTAGGGTTTAGGGTTTAGGGTGAAAATTGCTAAGCAGCTCTTCAGTTTGTAGGCTGTAGGGGTTACAGGGTCCCGGGCCAAGTTTCCGATGGGTTTGGGTTTGGGTATTGGGGGGTTGATCTTCGCGACGCCCAAAGGCAATCCGACAACCTTGTCATCGGAGTTCGCCAAGCTTGGAAAGCAGACGACAGATGCTCATGGAGATTCTGACCCCCAGCTAAAGCTGCTCAACACACTGAAGGACAATTTTCCACATGTGGCGGCTGCCTCTTACGACTACCTGTCTGAGGTGAACTGTAGCATTGCTGCCTTCCTGGTATGTAGCTAGACCGCTCTGATAAATTTGTTTTTGGTTGAGTGTTTAGCAGAAACTCATATGTTTGCATGATACTGTATTATGTTTTATCATGCTCTACTATGTCATGTCATGCTGGGTTTTGTTGGTCCATCTTTCGGAGAGGAAGCAACGGCAAGCAACTCTAAGTTTCCACCAAGAAAATCTCGTGCGGCTCGTGGGTATCACTTGACTGTTTTGTGTTTTGGGTCATGGCTTCTTCTTCCAAGAGGTCACCTTCTGCAGGGGAGCGCAGAAAAGCCGAGGCAATGTCAGTCTTGGCTTGACGGGCCCAAAGTGGACGCATTGCCGGGACTTAGCAAACAACCGTTCGACAGCGCGCCCGAACACGTCTCCGCCTCATGCAGCGATTGATGTCGTGCGACTGGCGCGGATATTTTACCAGTTTCTAGGTAGGCCTTTGGGACATTTTATGTTTTCCCTCGTTGGGCCCAAGAGGATCCTTTTTACGAATTTTCTTCAAAGACATTGAAGGGCCAACCTAGGTTGAAGCTGGCGGCACGAAAGAACCCAAAAGACTGCCGGCCCTGGCCCAGCTTGGACGTAAGCAGCGCGAAGAAGCAAAGGGCGCACCCGGAGAAGGCCACGACGGCCCGAAGCCGGCCTTGACAGTTTGGGGTTTAGGGTTTAGGGTTTAGGGTTTGGGGTTTGGGGTTTAGGGTTTAGGGTTTAGGGTAAATTGTCCAGCTTTAGTGCCGTATTTCCTTCAAGAAAGAGCCCCAAACCCCGCCAAAGCTACCAACAACCCGAAGCCTAATCCCTCATGACTACTAAAACCCGAACCCAAAACCCTCAAAGCCACAAGAACCCTAAAACATAAGCCCCAAAAAGCTACAACACCCGAAACCCTAAACCCTCAAAGCTACACGAGCCCTCAAACCCCAAACCCTCCATGGACAGCCCAGAAAACCCTTTGGCCGCCGTGTTGGCACGGCAAATCCCCTGGAAGTGCGAGCGACTGGATGGCCTCTTCCTAAGCGAGCCTGGGCTGGAAGGTGCTCTACCTGTGGCCGAAAAAACCTACATTTTTTTAGGGTTCCGCATTAGGGTTTCTATATATAAGTTCTTAAACAGGTAGGTTTTTTGGGCCAAAGGTAGGGTTTAGGGAATGTCGCGGCCTGAATACATCAAACGGCGATTTAAGGTTAAAAGGGTTTTGAGAGTGGATTGAAGTGTAGGGCCTAGGTGTGGGGCTGGAATATCCCGGACTGGATAAATTAACCAGTTTTTTTACAAGGTTTACTAGAAGGGTAGAGGGGCCTTCACAATTCTGGTCAGCCTTTAACGGGAGTCATTTTTCTTATTATTCGGCTCCTTATATTGGGGTCTTATAGAAACCTCCAAAGTGATTCCCTTTTTTCATTTGTGGATCTGAAGCAAAAACCATAGACTTGTTTAACCAAACGGGGCTGCACGGTTGCAATCAACGTCTTACGTTCTCTCTGAAGGGTAGTAGGTTCCAAAACTAGCCAACGGAAGAACCACACCAAAGCCTCAATCGTGAACCCTGAAGCCTAAACCTTAAGCACTGAACCCTGGACCCTATACGCCCACACGCGCATGGGATGCCGTCGTGGTAAAAGCCTGCATGGCACTGTTATGCAACGCCCTACATCCCCGTTTTTGCGCAAGCCCTCGACTCTAAACATGGCGAAGCCTAGTCGCACTCTTAAGGGCCGCCTAGAACTTGCATACAACGCACCAGAGCCTCTAAACTCCTGCCTTTGTAGCAAGCCTTCTAATCAAAGTCTTAAACCCTAGGCCCTAAAACTCTAAGCCTCAAGCCAAGAAGCCCTAAAAACCTTAAAGCCTAAGCCCTAACTCCTAAACCCTCAAACCCTACAACCCCAAACCCGAAGCCCTAAACCCTAAACCCTAAACCCCTAAACCCAAAGCCCCTAAACCCTAAGGAGACGGAGCGATGGTTTGCAAAGAGCGGGGCACAGAAGCCGAGGCTACTCTTCAGGGTTTACCCATAGGCCCCAATTTTTGGTTTTTGGATTTCTCAGCGATTCCGAAAATCCAAAATTCCAAAAATCCAAA